TGTAGGTACAGTCCTTCTGATTTCTTCATTGAGAAAGCTTGATCGGGTGGTTCTCATTCACACATGACCCTTGTTGGGCGGGGGTGGTAGGGTAGGGAGTGCTTTACCCATCACAGGTGCCAATTACATGGCTGAGAAGTGGAGCCAGTTTGCCCCTGGAGTAGCCCCCATTCATTGCATGACCTACCTATTCACTCATTCACTCAGAGTTCATGGGCATCATTCTGTGCCAGGGTGTGCCCTCAGTGCAGGGGGAAGCAAGGCCTCTGTCTTCAGAGGGACAAACATTTGGTCTTTATATCTTGGGAGAGGATGTAATCAGTAACAAACACAATTTCCAAGTGTACTGAGTGCCATAGGGATTTCAGCACGTGGGTTGATATGATCTAGATTTGCACAGAGAGGGGCCATTTGAGCTGAAACCTGGAGAATGAAAAAGAAGCAACTATGGGAGGGTCCAAAGTAAGAACTTAGCTGCTAGAGAAATCATCAGTTGCAAAGAACCGTGTGAAGGGTGGGCGATGAAGCAGGAGCTTGCGGACTGCTGTGCCTTAGGCATGGACAGCAGGGCGAGAGCAACAAAGCAAAGAGGCCAGGCCCAATCCTCACGCTCTGTGTGACATGCTAAGGGCTGGGATTTTACTGTATGTACAGAAAAATGATATTACAGGAGTTGAAACAGCGCAATGTCACCACCTAATATCTTTCACAAGAAATGTGCTAGCAGTTCTTTGGAAAATAGGCCGGAGTCATTCAGTCACCGAAGCTAACGATGGTGGACTCAGCAGAGCGGAGGCTGGGAGTGGAGCGGAGAGAAGCTCTCGTGTGGGTCATTCCTGCGTAGCACTGACGGGGTTTGCTCATGAGTCAGCTGTCCTGGCAACGGAGATGCTCCCTGTGGCCAGAGTTGGACTGTGGGAAGGGAGGAAATGAGGAATTTAGTTCAAAATGAAAGATGGTTCATCTTTTACCCGGAATCAGGAGGTTCTACAGACAACAGTCCTTTCTCACCGTGTCTCAGTGGAATTGTGATCATCTTCTAAATAAGTATTCATAAGAATAAACTTGCCACTCATTCATTTCACCAAAGCTCCCACATGAAGCAAGCTTATTAAACAAATCATCGAGAGAGAAAGAGAGAGCGTGAGAGAGACAGATGCTCATTATCCGGCCCAATCACCCCCTTCTGGCTGCCCTCCCTCTCCCGCCTCAGCTGCCCGTGGCAGACAAAGCCACTTAAGTGAGGTGAGCAGTTCTAAATGTATAATATCAACATGTGTTTTTAAAAATTATTTGGAACCTGCTGCCATTGTTCTAATACACTGATTTGATGGATGCTTCAGCACTTTTTTTTATGAAGCTTCTCACTGTATTACCTTATCGGGTGCATAAGCTTTAGTCTGTTCTGCAGAAGAAAACAGACAAGAAGAGTCTCCCAGCATGAGATACTCTCCTGTAAAGGCGATAGTAAACATGCCAATGCCTAATTAAGCAGAAAATTCTATCCGTACTGTGGGGGAGGCGTTGGCTGTCTCCGACTTCTCTTCTGGGGAATCCATTTAGAAGGACAAAGTGGATTGTGGAGTTGAGCTGGTCCACAGAGCTCAGCTTCCAACTGTCAGCAGGAAAGAAAGAACACTTCTCTCCTCCTTGTGCAAAAATGACTATACAGGCTGGAGTGTGTGTGTGTGTGTGTGTGTGTGTGTGTATGTACATACATACATTCACACAAATGTGTCTTTCATCAACCCACACAAAATAACATGAATTACTTCCCAGCTTCCTACTAAGTATCAGGCCCTGTGCTAGGCACTGAAAATACTGAGATGAAAAACCTTAGCAACTCCCTTAGCCAGCTGTGATGACAGAAAGCCCTCTTTTTTTCTTAAACTTTTTCCCTTCTGTGTGTGTCTGTGTGTGCATGTGCGCATGCATTTTTCTTTGTTTCTATTGTTACATTCCCCATAAGTGTAGTGACTATGTCTTAGCAGGAACATGTGTTGGGTAACATGTGTTGTCCCAGAGCAAGAGTGACAATATCCTTCTAACTCTCAGGAGGGACCCCTCTTGGTTGATAAAATTTTCCCAATTCTTTTAAGCATTTTGGTTGGCTCTGTAACTATTTTATTATTTTATAACAGACATTCTCCTTGAATTTAATGATTTGACTCCTTTTGCAAACATGCAAATTAGTCCAAGAAAAAAAGAAAATTCGATGAGGATGAGGGGGTGATCTAATTCAGTCATTCAGCTATTTTTGAACAAGCGTTTGCTTGTAAGCAGTGATCACTTATTATTGGTTGTTTGACCAGATCGAGTAGCTTTTATGTCTGGAAATTAATTTATGGAACTAGAAACCAGCACACCAGTTTCATGAAAAACCCACTTGTCAACTTGCTAGGAAAGCGAAAACACAACACCAAGAGCAATAAAATACTGAGCACGGCCATGAGTCTGATAGCCAGACTCAATTTTTACATTTCATCTTGTTTGATGGTACTGTGCCCTTAAAATCATGAGCTCTTGTCCCCAGAACTCCCACAACTCTCTCCTCTGAAGTGGTTATCCATTTAGTGACATTTCAGTGAACTTCCACTGCTAACCTTTAACCTTGGGGTCTCTGCAGCACTTTCTTATTCAATTGATTGGTAATAGAAAGTGGAGCCTGGTAGTTAAGACCATGGATTCTCTCATCGACAGGGTACATATCATGACTATGATACTGCTGTGTGGTCTTGAGCAAATTCCTTAACCTGAAAGCCTCAGTTTCCCCATCTGGGAAATGGAAATAATAATAGTTCCTACTCCATGTAGGTATGAGATGAAATGAAAGAATGCATTCGCAGTGTGGTCAGCATAGGTCTTAGGAGAGTGATTGCTCACTAATATTCCTCCTCAGTAGCAGAAGCCTTTGGGGCTGCTACTGCAGCTACTTTACCCCCAACAACCCCCTCTTCCCTCCTAACCCTCTGCCTGCCTACAGGACAGACCACCAATGCATGATCACCCTTCTCATTCTCTGGTGAATGAGAATATTGCCACTGCCCTGGGGTTTTTCCCACCTGCACTGAGGGGGAGATAGAGGCTCAGAAGGAAGGCACTGCTCTGAGATCATGCAGGCCTTGTAAATCTAAGGCCAGTTCACCCTTGCCTTGATGTTTCTTTGGTTGCATTTTATCCATGTGGCTCTGAAAATGGCCGGTGAAGAAAATGAGCACCTGGGTACAAATAGTCCCATTCCTCATCTCCATGAATGGCTATTTGCCCATTAATTCCCTTTGCGCCCACTCTCTCATGCCTTCATTTTCCCTGTGCAATTATGGGTCTTAAATCCTTTCAGAAAGGAGAAAGCATGCATCCCCAATAGCATTTTGCATCTACAAATCACACGTAAAATTGGCACCTCCTGGCAGTTCCCCACAAATCACAGTGCATTTGAAATTATAGGCACAAGACTGAGAGGGAATTTTCCACCTTGTCTGCAAAGGTTTTCATAAACCTGTTTGAGAATAGTAAGATAGTCCCCAAATCTCCCATTCTGATACCATTTGCTATTATTTTAAAACTAGAGTCCTGGTGCATGAAATTCATGCACTGGGGGTGTCCCTCAGCATAACCTGCACCCTCTCCAATCTGGGACCCCTTGGGGGATGTCCAGTTTAGGCTCAAAGGGATCAGGCCTAAACCTCCTAACCACTTGCCTGCCTGCCTGTCTGATTGCATTCTAACTGCTCCCCTGCCAGCCTCATTGAAGCCTAACTGCTCCCCTTTGGGCCTTATTGCCCCCGACTGCCCTCTCCTTTCCTGCAGGCCTGATCTCGCCCCAACTGCCCTCTTCTGCAGGCCCAGTCACTCCCAACTTCCCTCCCCTGCCAGCCTGATCTCACCCCAAACTGCCCTCCCCCTGCTGGCCATCTTGTGGTAACCATCTTGTGGCCACATCTTGTGTCAGCCATCTTGTGACGATGTTGCAGCGGCCACCTTGTGATGGCATCGCTCAAGGGTGTCGCTTGATGCCACCTAGGCTTTTATTATATAGGATCATTGTTTGCTGAGTTTACATAATTTTGGGGCTATCAGTGGAAGATCTTTTTTAGGACTCCATAATCTCTCTTCCTGCTGTGTGATGCTCTACAAATAAAAATAGAACAAAAGGACTGGCTTTCATGAAGATGAGGCTGTACGTTCAGATTACTTCCGAGCACTCAAAAATGACTTACTCAATGATTTTATGCCAGTAGACCCAAGTGTCTTGGTAAACCTTACCATGGAGATGCCAAAGGTCAAATCTTAGCTTTCTTATGAGCAACATCCTTCTCGGTAGAGATATGACTTTGATTGGATTTGGATTTTAGTCCAGCTTTCCTGAAAGTCATAAGCAAGAATTTAGCAACTGTCCCATTAAAGGAATATTAGAGTGCTATTCCTTAAAAATGACAATTACTAACTTAGCATTCTGGGCATTTGTGAAGAACTATAGCTCCTGCCAATTAAGAAGCCAAGGAGGCCCAAGCTGGGTTGGCTCAGTGGATAGAGCATAGGCTCACAGACTGAAGGATCCCAGGTTTGATTCTGATCAAGAGCACATACCTTGGTTGCCAGGTTCCCTGGCCCTGATCAGGGTATATCAGGAGGCAACCAGTTGATGTGTATCTTTCACATGGATGCTTCTCTCTGTCTCTCCCTCTTCCTTACACTCTAAAAAATCAATGGAAACGTATCCGTGGGTAAGAATTAACAACAAAAAGAAGTCGAGGAGGGTTAGGTAGCACGAAAGGCATCATTTGGCTTTTCCTGTATCCATTGCCTAACTGCCCTCTCCTGCTGGCCTGGCCATCCCCACTGCCCTCTCCTGCTGGCCTGATCTCTCCCCCAACTGCCCTCCTCTGCACATGTAGACAGATTGCTCTTCGGTGGGATGTGGAAAGCCCTTGTCCCAGTGGAAATCAAGATGGAGCCTGGGACCTGGTGCTAATATTTCATCTCTTCTTGTCTTGCAGGCTACGCCCAGGAGGAGCAGCTGAAGGACCAGGAGGAGATAAAAGAGGAAGAGGAAGAGGAGGAAGACAGCGGTTCCGTGGTTCAACTGCAGAGCAGCAATGACCCCGGGACAGACGAGGAGCTAGACATGGGTCAGGAGCCGAAGGGCTGCTTCAGCTACCAGAACTCCCCGGGCAGCCACTTGTCCAACCAGGACGCAGAGAGCGAGTCTCTGCTGAGCGATGCCAGTGACCCCGTGTCCGACATCAAGAGTGTGTGCGGCCGGGATGCCCTGGACAAGACAGCCGGCGCTCGGCCCAAGCTGCCCGGGGAAGCCCACAACTGCATGGACAAAATGACGGCCGTCTACGCCAACATCTTATCTGATTCCTACTGGTCGGGCCTGGGCCTGGGCTTCAAGCTGTCCAACAGTGACCGGCGGCATTGTGACACCCGAAATGGCAGCAGCAAGACGGATTTTGATTGGCACCAAGACGCTCTGTCCAAAAGCCTGCAGCAGAACCTGCCCTCCCGGTCCGTGTCGAAGCCCAGCCTGTTCAGCTCGGTGCAGCTGTACCGACAGAGCAGCAAGGCGTGCGGGAGCGTGTTCACCGGGGCCAGCCGGTTCCGCTGCCGCCAGTGCAGCGCCGCCTATGACACCCTGGTCGAGCTGACCGTGCACATGAACGAGACGGGCCACTACCAAGATGACAACCGCAAAAAGGACAAGCTTCGGCCCCTGAGCTACTCCAAGCCCCGCAAGCGGGCCTTCCAGGACATGGACAAGGAGGACGCCCAGAAGGTGCTGAAGTGCATGTTCTGCGGTGACTCTTTTGACTCCCTCCAGGATCTGAGCGTCCACATGATCAAAACGAAACATTACCAAAAAGTGCCTTTGAAGGAGCCAGTCCCCACCATTTCATCCAAGATGGTCACTCCAGCCAAGAAGCGTGTCTTTGATGTCAACCGGCCGTGTTCCCCGGACTCCACCACGGGGTCGTTCGCGGACTCGTTTTCGTCCCCGAAGGGCAGCAGCCTGCAGCTGTCCTCCAACAACCGCTACGGCTACCAGAACGGCGCCAGCTACACCTGGCAGTTCGAGGCCTGCAAGTCCCAGATCCTCAAGTGCATGGAGTGTGGGAGCTCCCATGACACCTTGCAGCAGCTCACCACCCACATGATGGTCACAGGACACTTTCTCAAGGTCACCAGCTCTGCCTCCAAGAAAGGGAAGCAGCTGGTGTTAGACCCGCTGGCGGTGGAGAAAATGCAGTCTTTGTCCGACGCTCCCAACAGCGATTCTCTGGCTCCCAAGCCATCGAGTAATTCAGCTTCGGACTGTGCCGCTTCTACGACTGAGATAAAGAAGGAGGGTAAGAAAGAAAAGCCAGAGGAGGCCACCAAGGAGGAGAAAGCCGTGAAAAGCGAGGACTACGAAGACCCTCTACAAAAACCGCTAGATCCTACCATAAAGTATCAGTACCTACGGGAGGAGGATCTGGAAGATGGCTCCAAGGGTGGAGGGGACATCCTGAAATCACTGGAAAACACTGTCACCACAGCCATCAACAAGGCCCAAAACGGGGCTCCCAGCTGGAGTGCGTACCCCAGCATCCACGCCGCCTACCAGCTGTCAGAGGGCACCAAGGCCTCCTTGCCTCTGGGCTCCCAGGTGCTGCAGATGCGGCCCAACCTCACCAACAAGTTGAGGCCAATTGCTCCCAAGTGGAAAGTAATGCCCCTGGTGTCTGTGCCCACGAACCTGGCCCCATACACTCAAGTGAAGAAGGAGCCAGAAGACAGGGAGGAAACAGTGAAGGAGTGTGGGAAGGAAAGTCCCCGTGAAGAAGCGTCATCTTTCAGCCACAGTGAGGGGGAGTCTTGCTCCAACAGCGAACCCCCTTCGGAATCCAAAAAGCCTGAGCCTTGCCCCCCGAAGGAGGAGGACAAGCTGATGAAAGAGGGCGGTGAGAAGGAGAAAACTCATCCCCTGGAGCCTGCGTCTCCCCTCAGCAACGGGTGCGCCCTCACCAACCACGCGTCGGCCCTGCCGTGCATCAACCCGCTCAGCGCACTGCAGTCCGTCCTGAACAACCACCTGGGCAAAGCCACGGAGCCCCTGCGCTCCCCTTCCTGCTCCAGCCCCAGCTCAAGCACAATCTCTATGTTTCACAAGTCCAGTCTCAGCGCCATGGACAAGCCGGCCTCGAGTCCTGCCACCGCGAGGCCGGCCAGCGTGTCCAGGCGCTACCTGTTTGAGAACAACGACCAGCCCATCGACCTGACCAAGTCCAAAAGCAAGAAAGCCGAGTCCTCCTCGCAAGCACAATCCTGCACGTCCCCGCCTCAGAAGCATGCTCTGTCTGACATCGCCGACATGGTCAAAGTCCTCCCCAAAGCCACCACCCCGAAGCCCGCCGCCTCCTCCAGGGTCCCACCCATGAAGCTGGAGGTGGACGTCAGGCGCTTCGAGGACGTCTCCAGTGAGGTCTCCACGTTGCATAAAAGAAAGGGCCGACAGTCCAACTGGAACCCCCAGCACCTTCTGATCCTGCAAGCTCAGTTCGCGTCAAGCCTCTTCCAGACATCGGAGGGCAAGTACCTGCTGTCCGACCTGGGTCCCCAAGAGCGGATGCAGATCTCAAAGTTCACGGGACTCTCGATGACCACCATCAGCCACTGGCTGGCCAACGTCAAGTACCAGCTTAGGAAAACGGGCGGGACGAAATTTCTGAAAAACATGGACAAGGGCCACCCCATCTTTTACTGTAGTGACTGTGCCTCCCAGTTTAGAACCCCTTCTACTTATATCAGCCACTTGGAATCGCACCTCGGCTTCCAAATGAAGGACATGACCCGCATGGCCGTGGAGCAGCAAGGCAAGGCGGAACAAGAGATCTCCCGGGTGTCGTCGGCTCAGAGGTCTCCGGAAACCATAGCTGGCGAAGAGGACACGGACTCTAAGTTCAAGTGTAAGTTGTGCTCTCGGACATTTGTGAGCAAACACGCAGTAAAACTCCACCTAAGCAAAACGCACAGCAAGTCACCCGACCACCACTCTCAGTTTGTAACAGACGTGGATGAAGAATAGCTCCGCAGGTATGGGTTTGCTCCCAGTGATGTGACGGTGGCCTTGGAGGAGTTCCTGGAAGGGAGATGGGTCTCTTAGGCAGCTAACGTCTCCCGTACCAGAGGCCAGTCACCTGCTGGGACAGGACTTAGTTTTACAAAGACTAGAACGTGATAAACAAGTCCTGTCAGTTCTCTCAGTCTCTCCGGTGTAGACTTGGGCATTAGCAAGAAATGGGTTTAGGGAGATGGAGCTCACAGATTCCCGCTTCATGACCCATGATCCCCGTAGTTTCCCAAGGCCCAGCTTGCCTGGGCCTCCCAAGGCTACACGTCATTTTAATGAATAAGTACTAATTTCTCTCCCGTCCCATTTCACCACCACCCCTGTCCATAGGAATGCTGATGACTTAGAAAGTGAGAGAGAAAAGGCCATCCACAGAATAAAGACTCTAGCATTCCTGGGGGCAGCCACTGTGCAGATTTCTTAATCAGCTTATGAATAGTTTAAAGTTGTCTTTATCATCATTACTTGTAATCAATGCTTTTTGCAGCTACTGTCAGCACTTGCTCCCTCTGCCCCCTTCCTTTTGCTCATTCCTCCCTTAGGCTTCCCTGGAATGAGCATCTGATCTGAAGTCAGATGATAGAAAATAGTATTCTCTGCACAACACTGAGATGAAAAGAGAGGAGGCGTATCTTCTTCTCTCATCTTTGCTTTTCTAGGATAGAGTAATTCCAGAGTCCACCTGTCAGGAAGATGGGTGCGATGCATGCCCCTGAGCTTGTGCTTTACATAAAGAAGCAGATGACTTTCTGCCCACCCATGGCCAATGCACATGGGTCTCCCAGTTTCAAGATGATTTGCATCGTGTATTATAGAAGGCCTGGACCTTGTAAAGTCACCAGTGCCCAGACTGTCAATGTCATCCAGGAAAGAGGACAGAGACCAAGGTCAGATACCTCGGCAGGCTAGTCACGCTGGCCATCTTCAAATGTGTTTGAGGCTGGGTCTTAAATCCCTTTTCTCTCAGTTTGTATTTTCTCTGCTGCCTTTTCTCTTCCCTCCATCATGACATCACCCCATGTGTTGGGGACCCTCACATATATGAAGGGTGTCTTCCACCACAGGCCACACCCCAAGATGAGGACCCACCCAAGCTTTGGCACTTGTTGGTCTGTCTATGCTATGCTATGCTAGGTTACAGATGAGCCCTTTTGATTAATTCACATTAAGACATGAACAGCTACGAATAACAAGGTAGAAACCCTCTTCATCTCCGATGGTCAGAGTGTTTGTTTTTCAATAGGAGGCTTTCATGCACAGAGGTATGAGCACTTAGCGGGGTCCAGGTGGAGACAGGTGTGTGTATATAACATGTTTTCGGGCTCACTTCCCAACAGGGAGAGAGGCTGGCGGAATGTGAGATGCTCACATGAAATAAAGGATCTGGGACTCTCAGTGAAAATATCTAAGAGCTTCTGCTAACGGGGATACCATCCCATAATTCCAATGGTTCTCTGGGCTCCAATGAAGACTATTGTTTTGTTTGCATGTTTTTATCATGATAATTAAAACGTGTTACTGGCAGATTCATCTCTTGCTTTCTAAGCATGATTTGTTCAGCTCATACTATTGAAAGAAACACTGAAAATCATCTATTGAATCTACACGTGAGCTTGGGGTTCGGCATATCTATTTATTTGCTCTATAACATTCTAAGTTTTATGTAACTTGCTATTACGCTTTTCCGGTCCTTCAAAAAAAAATGGTGAATATACACAGAATATCCAAAGAGAAGAGACATGTTGCCAATCCCATAGTAGTAGGTTCAAACCATGGTGAAAAGGACAAAGAGGCAATGTTTATTTGTGCTACAATAAAGACCAATTTTCCACCTGCTAGGTTTGTAATCATTTTTTAAATTAATATCACTGCCCAAACACTGCGATGTGGAAGTGGAGAGGGGGGAGAAAAAGGAAGCCATAGTCAAAATCCGAAATGTGCTTACCTGTTCTAGGGAAGCACAGGTAAACAAGTAGTTTGGGGAAAACCTACACTAAAGGTATGACAGCTGTTAAATGCGTAGAATAGGAGAGCTGTTTCTCATCTCTCTGCATTTGTTCAGGAATAAATATCTCTGATTTGGCCCTTTGGAGCCCCATATTGCAGGGTTATCCTTCTATGAAATCTGCTCCATCCTGATGGAGACACTGTGAGCCTATGATTCTGAGGATGGCCTGCAGAAACACAGGTTTGAGTATTTGGGACTCATTTCAAGCCATGGAAGTGTGCGCGTGTTGTGTGACCATGAAGTGGGCGTGGGTGTTGAGTATGTTTATGGTGTTCTAAACACAGGCCCATATGCCGGAACAGTTCCCCATGGCACAAAGGTGGCTTTTGGAGGCTTTGGTCACTTAGAAAAGAATTCCTGTGCCCTCAGGTCCTCTTTTGGAACAATATTTATGCCAGGCCTTGCCCACTGCTTAGACTGAAGCATATATGGTTTTAAATGATCACTAAACGAGATCACTGTTATCTGGAACTCTGATTCTCGTTGGTGTGCGTGACAGCACAAACCGCACAAAATGACCTGTGTTTTAGAAAGCATGACCAACATTTTTCGAGAAAGCTGGGGGCTTTACTATATCAATATTCTCTATAAGATGCCAATTTTGACTTGAATTTTCTTTCCTTCCTTGGGCATGTCTTAAATACTGCAAATTGCTCTGCCAAATGTTAAATACCACTTTTTATTAAATAATAATTAGCAAATATTAAATGTGTATTCCTATTTTAGGAGAGCAGTAATCTGAAAGTATTTCAATTTGTATTTGTATATATCGTACCTTTAAAAACCACATGCTCTTAAACAATAGAAATTAAATAAAAAGCAAATTAATGAATCTAAAATTCATAAGGACTTGAAATTATAATCATTACCATGTGATATGGTGTATACATTTAGCAGCACACTTAGCCTTGAAATTGGTGGCAGGAATGAATTCTAGTCCAATGAGCTGCCACCTTTGATGTTGATGATTTTATAAAAATCCATTTTCACGGTGAATAGCATGTAAAGTTGCCAGATAAAACACAAGATGTCCAGTTTAATTAGAAGTTCAGGTTTTAGGATAAGTATGTCCCAAATAGTACGATAAGTATGGCCAAAATTCATTGTTTATCTGAGATTCAAATGTAAATGGGCATTCTGTATTTTTATTGGCTAAATCTGGCAACCCTAACAACATGGATTATCTGGCCATCTGGAAGAGCAAAATGGGCTAGTCTAATTTTTTTCAATTACAGTTGACATATAATAATATATTAGTTTTAAGTGTACAACATTTATATAACTTACAAAATCTAATGCCCACCTAACATCATACAAAGTTATTACAATACTAGAGGCCCGATGCATGAAATTCATGCGAAGGTAGGCATTCCTTCCCCCTGCTGCTGGCACAAGCTTCCCTCTGGCATCTGAGACCCTGGCTTCCCTCACAGCCCAGCTTCATCCCGAAGGTTGTCCAGAAGAACACCTGGTCTAATTAGCATATTATGCTTTTATTACTATAGATTATTGACTATATTCTTTATGCTATGCTTTACATCCCCAAGACTGCTTTTATAACTGGCAATTTGTACTTCTTAATCCCTTCCCATTTTCACCCATCCTACCAACCCCACTCCCATCTGGCAACCACCAATTTGTTTTCTGTAACTCTAAGTGTATTTCTATTGTGTTTGTTCATTTCTGTTTTTTTTTTTTTTTTAGATTTCACATATAAGTAAAAGCATATGGTAATGGTCTTTGTCTGACTTATTTCACTTGGCACAGTACCCTCTAGGTTCATCCATTTGTTACAGATGGTAAGATTTCATCTTTTCTTATGGCTGAGTAAGATTCCACTGTATACACGCACCATGTCTTCTTCATCCAATCTTCTACTGACGGTCACCTAGGCTGCTTTCATACCTTGGCTATTGTAAATAACATTGCAATGAACATAGCAATGTGCATGTCTTTTTAAATTAGTGTTTTGGATTTCTTTGGATAGATACCCAGAAGTGGGATTACTGGGTCATAAGGTAGTTCTATTTTTAATTTTTTAAATATATTTTATTGATTTTTTTTTTTTTTACAGAGAGGAAGAGAGAGGGATAGAGAGTTAGAAACATCGATGAGAGAGAATCATCGATCAGCTGCCTCTTGCACACCCCCTACTGGGGATGTGCTCGCAACCTAGATACATGCCCTTGTCCGGAATCGAACCCGGGACCTTTCAGTCCACAGGCCAACGCTCTATCCATTGAGCCAAACCGGTTTTGGCTATTTTTAATTTTTTTGAGGAACCTCCATACTGTTTTTCATAGCACCTGCACCAATTTATAATCCCACCAGTGAGGTTTCTCTTTTCTTCACATCCTCACCAACAGTGTTGTTTGTTTATTTGTTGTTGAGATATGCTGGACTCATTAATATCTATAAGAGGCATTGACCTTCCTTCAACCATTAAATAAATCTTACTTTCCCTCCCTTCTCCCTTCTCTCCTTCCTTCCCTCTGTCATTCCTTTCTTCCTTCCCTCCCTTCTCCTGTCCTTCCTTCTTTTCTGACTTCCCTCCCTGCATTGCTTTCATATCAGTGGTGCTTTAGCTCCGAAGCAGCCTGCAGTCCACACAGACATGTAGTGGTGACCCAGCAGTGGTGCTGACTGTATAGCAGCACAAGGGCCAGGCCTGCCCCAGGTGTTCATGAACATTCTTTCACTGTATTCCCACAACAGCCTGTGAGGGAAAGGTGGATTCAGCCAAATTCCAGGCGAGGAAATGGAGGCAGAGTGTCTGCGTGAATTCCCCAAGGTTCCACAACTTCTGAGTTTCACCTAGCTAGAAAACCATCACTCCATGCCTGACACAGTGCTGATCCCAGGGAATGAACCCGTGGCCAGAACAAGAGAACGCCTTTGAGCCTAGTGGCAGACATAGATGGGAAGGCTGGGGAAAACGTCAAATCGT